GACTCCTGTGAATTTTGCTTTAAATAGTATTTTTTTCTTTGTTCCTGGTTTTTTTTTAAATTGTTTTTGCATTTTTAAACTTTTCTCAATATGATTTCAAGATCTGCCAAACTTTGTGGGTTTCTAGCTTCTCTTAAAACATAAATAATTTCTGTATGGTTTCATAAAAAATTTTGATGAATCATAGAAGCTTTGAAGTGTTTCCCTTCTCCTAACAGACCTACAGATTATTTCTTTAGAAATATCAAGCAGTTTCTGTGAAATTTGAATTTCATAGGAATTCTGGCGCCCAAAACACTGAATTGGGAAAGGTTGTCCTGGAAGAAGGAAGCTTGTGTTGGAAAACATTGTGTGTGTAGTGTCCCAGGACCCCGACTCCGCAAGAGCTCCACGTGCAATCTCAAGGAACAGTGTGCCTCTTTAGTGAGATATATGGCTTCATAATTAGTCCCTTGCATTTTTTTCATGAGTGCTAGCATCAGCGTTCTATGATGTGTTTCTCTGATTAACAGCTGCTTTGCAACTATTTCCTTGTGCCACCGATAATCGTATTTGTCAAGTTAGTCCTGGCAGAGCACTGATTTCTTACTAAAATGCAGCATCTCTGTTTGAAGGGGTTTTCTTGTTCATTGCAGTGCTAGGCTTTTAAGTCAGCCCTTGTTAAAACGTAAGTTGGCTTTAGCCTGATGCTTGTTAACAGGATTCTGGGTATCTCCTTTAGAGTAGGAGTGCAGAAACCTTTCACAGACAATTTAATCTTCTGAGGCTTGCAAACATACAGCCGTACACTGAGGGGGTGTTGCTGTAGGCTAATATATTGATCAGTTCCATTTGCCCTATAACTCTGGCCTGCTGCTCTGGCTGAAATAGGTTGAGTGTTTGTTGATACTGCCATATTACTATTTTTTAATACACTTGAAAAAAAATTAATTCCAACTTCTTTTACATACGTCATGTATATTGCCAGTGTTGATTGCTTCCGCACATGTAATGTAAACTGTCTGTGCATAGTTCATGGCCTGTGCCGCCTCTGCTTAATGAAAAGAAGTGTTGCATTTAAACAGATACAGATCCACTCAGAAAGACAAAATACCATCCCTTGCAACGTATAATTCAGACCCAACCTTTACATCACAGGTCATCTCAAAGTCTCAGTCTATCAACAAATGCTGTTTAGTAATAGCCTACAGAGGGTTCCCAGTATTAGGAAATCTATTAGAGCTCTTCTGGGCTGCACTCATTTTGGCTTTTGATTCTGTTTTCCATGTGGAACTCTGTTACCAACTCCTGTGGAACTTTTACTGATGAAGATAATTTTCCTTTGCATTTTTGTTAATTGACTAGGTAGGTTTTTTGAGATGGTAGAAAGTGGACATTTGCCACAGTATTTTAAATTTCGTGGTTTATTTTTCTAACGCTAGTAACGGATTGTGATAAAGTCGCTTAGATTGCTTCACTGGAAACCCTGCAGCGTTGAGCAGAGTAAGAAATAAGGCTAGCTTTACCTTCTGCATTAACACAAAAGGGAGGGAAATTAGGAATGAGGGACCTTGGCTGTCACGTCAAAGTGCTGTGCTTTGGCTCAGAATTTCGTCAGCCTGCTGCACTCCCACAACATCTGCAGTAAAGTTCCTGTCTCCGTTTTATATCTTTGACATTGAAGCAGAATATTTGGCCTGAATTTATGTAATTTGGCCAGACACAGATATAATCCCTGAATAGTTACATTCATCTTCTAATTAGAAAGTCAAACTGTAGGACAAGACCTGCTGCAAGATTCTACCCATCACCAGCCAGTCAGAAACATGTCTTTGTGTATCATATCACTGCAGGAGAAGTGGTGGTGGGATAGCAAGTTTCTGAAATTGACTTGCTTTTAAAAGCCATTTACACTGCCTTTCATTAAGTATGTACCTGACCCACCACATAAAACCAGTTTGCTGGCCTGTGTGTGCTGGCAATTTAAGAATCAGAGTAGTGAAACAATGCACATTATTTGGCAGTGTCCTAATACTCTAAACAGTTGGAGAAGTGTTACAAATTATACAGAAATAGTATGGAACAATGTTACCAGCTGAGTCAGAGTGCTATTTGCTACACGATTTTTTTGGCTATACGCAGGGCTGCAAAATCTTCTTGTCTTCCTCCTCCTTTTTGTGTTGTTTAAATTATGGACTGCAGTTTTCCTTGTTTGTGCAAAGAAAATGATCCATAGAACATAGGAAAGGTCTTGTGTATGTTTGTTGAAAATATTGGCATTTTGACATGGCCAAAATTGCTTCATAAGTTGCACATGTATACAAGATGAATTATAAAAATGAAAAAGCTTCAGCTCAGCCTATAGGAGGAATGTTCAGAGGTAAATGCAAACAAATACGAGAAACGTGGAGATTATTGGGAGGAGGAATACATGTCCAGGATTCTTTTTTTATGAAGTTTGTTATTGCTTGTAATTTTATTTTGTTTTAAGATTAAAAACTTTGTGAATAATGGAGGAAGTGATGCAGGGAAGAGATAAAATAGAAGTTTATTTTGGAGTGAAATTTACTACTGAAATGTTTACAGTTTTACAAGGCAAAAATAAGTTTTAATAAAGAGTTAGAATCAATAAAATGTTCACATGGTTGTGACTGAAATAGCACAATGAAAAATGCTGCTTATTTCTTCCAGGTTTTTTAGTGCTTAAAATCTGATGATTAAATATGAGGGCTTGCAGAATTTCAGGTCTGCAGGCCTTTTGTGTCTGTGTCTCTGGCTCACTAAATGTGGGAGGGAGTGTCGAGGAGTTTCTGAAGAAACAAACAAGTAATTATTGTTAGAAGGAAAGTGGTTTTGATACGTTCACATATCTGTTGGTCTGCTCATTTGGGCATCTTTCTTATTCAGCATATTACCTTAAGGTTATTAGTTTGGGTGCTTTATATTTCTGCATCTGGCATAGCAATATCAGCACAGTTTTAAATCTGTGATTTTCCTGTCACCTGCATTTCAGCTGGAGACAGATCAAGTGCACATAAATGAAATGAAAGTGTACTTTATGTGGGGTATTTTGCTATAGTATTTTATGGTTCAAAATTACTGAATGTAAACTTAAGGGAAAAATTGAAGGAAAATAAGAAAAGGAAAAGAATTAAAAATACCCCATTCATTTTATCCTCCCAACTTTGAAGTGTGCTGGGACTTTGTCAAATTCCCGTTAAAATAAATATGTCAATTTCATCTGTCTTCCAAATTCATTTATCATGCTTTTTTAAAAGGTGTTTTCTGCTTTACCTGATGTTTAAATTGGATTTGCTCGTTTATGCTGTTCTTTGCTGTATCCCCCATGTTTTTCTTAAATGAATTAGTAATGACAGCGTACTCCATCATACCCTCTCTACAGCCACTTTAAGGGAAGCCTGGTGATCTAAACCTTTTAACCTATTAAAGATGATTTTCCCCAATTGAATCAGACCCACCACAGGTGTAATAACTAATCATTTAAACTACACCTGCTATTATGTATTTTTAAGCCATTATGTGTGTTGGATAGATGATAATTCATGTTTATTGCATTGTCCAATGGATCCGTTTTGCCTACACTAGCCTGATTAATGTATTTAAAGAAATAAGAGATGCAATTTAAAAGAAAAAAAACATTGATGGAATGCACTGAGGAGTACATTGAAAGTGCCATTAAACCCATCAGAACTTTGCTCTCTGACCAGAAATGCATATTCGAAGGGTTTGATTCAAACACAGAGTGAAACTTGGTGATTTCAGTAGTGGTGCTGTTTTTTCTCCTGTCTTTTTCTGCTGTGAAAAGTTTTGAAAACCTTTTTAGAACTGGATTCCACAGACTGTATTTTAAGATAAACTCTTCAAGACTTACCTAACATAGGTCTAGCATATACCACCATTTGAAGAGAAGGTTTATGCCAGTCTCTGGGGACAAAAACCTCTTCTATGCATGCGCATGGTTATTTTTAGTTCTAGTTGAAGGAAGTGATCTCTTCCACGAGTTCACATGGGTGTGTCCATCTCCCAAGTGCTGTTGACTTCAGGCACGTTGTTCCCCCTGATGCCACAAGCAGAAGTCTTTGTATAAAAGTACATTGGATTGACTGGTTTTCAGTGATGCAGCAACATGTAATAATGTGTGTAATGGTATAGGAGAGCATGTGGAAATTTTTACCTTACAGTATGAAGAAAATATCAAATACCTTTCATTGGCTCCAACTGGAAATGTGAAAAAAACTGCTGTTGTTGGTGATGCCATTGAGTGTTATGCTATACCTTACCCTTTGTTTGAATAAGTCCTTTGTTTTAAGTGCTATGTCACCTTAAAGAACGATATAGAAGTCAGTCTTTAGACAAAAGTAATCTGTGATTTTTGCTGATGTAGAACATAAATTTAACCACTCACATATCCATTTATGTCATGAAAAGTGACTTTTTTGATATTTTTGTTATGTGATCCAAAACATGTGGCGTTGCTTCGCTTCCAGTCATGACAAGCTGAGGTTTATTTATTGCTTTCAGTAAATTAGAATGATGGCAGAAAAGGCCTTACTCTCTTAGAATATTCAGGGAGCTTTAAGTCAGATAGAAAGGAAGCATTCTTACTGGTAAGCCTACTCTCATAGATCACATGCTTTGTCTCAAGGTTGCTCTCAACTATAGGAGCCAGCTTAGGTAAAAAGATCATAATATAAATGATAGAAAGCCCTAAGAATCTTAATTGCGTCTTGAGTACAGGTTGAGCTACTCCAAAAGTAATTCAACAAGAAACTTATGGGTTGAAATTCTGTAATTGTGCTGTGTAGAGTTGAGCCACAAACTCTGATGCTCTTTGAACCATTTCTGAAAGTTGGATTGTTGTCAGCTCCAGACCATCTCCATGTGTTGGCTGCAATGCCTTACTTTGCAGTGCAGATTGCATAATGTAAAATAGGAATTTGACCACTCTTAACTTGGATCTTTTCTCTCTTCTATATCTCCAATCCTCCTACCCTCATCAGATTGTGACAGCAGTGAAATTTTTGCAGAATCCACGAGTCCGCCAAAGCCCTGTTGCATCCAGAAGAGCATTTCTGAAGAAGAAAGGTATGGACTTCTAAGTTTGTGGTATTAGTGATTATAAGGGAGCTTGGGTTAGTGTAAAGCCAAAGTGTATTGCTGTGGAAAATTAGATGTTAAAGGGCAAAGCAAATAATGTGTCTCAAAAAAAGATTTGACATTTGTAAGTATCATTCTCTTTTCTTCCAAACAGTCTAGAGAAATATTGGTACCAGATGTGGAATTGTAGAATACAGAAGACACATTGGAACTTTTTGGGTTAACTATTATCAGATCTTTCCTGAAATGAGAACAGTGTAGAGCTGAGGACTAGATGGTCAGTTGTAACCTTAGTGACATTGGCTTTAGAATGACCGGCTTCTAGGTGAAAAGGTCAAATATTTCCAAAGAGAGCCAGAGAGAGGAATGAAAGGCAAAGGACTTGGTGAAAGTAAACAAGGTCAGGTTAAGGTCAAGACTGGGGTTGACCTGACTTTCAGGCTGAAATGGTATACTATTGACTTGAGTTTAGCCCTTTTCTATAGCAGGAGTAGAATAGATCCTGACAAATCCTATATTGTCTTAGACAGATGGAACATACTTTGGCCATTGCCTACTGAGAATTTCTTTTAACTTTCTGACTCACAGTGGAACTATCTATCTTTCGTTATTTTTTTTTTTTCTTCTTCTTCTTCTTTTTTCTTTTTCAAGTTCTTAGTCCACAACTTTTCAGGGCATTTCAGGTGAAGACCACTCCATATTATGCTTCCTTCCTCGTACCTTATTCCTTAGATGCTTACTGCAGGATGTAAATAGTAAGGACAGTCTTACCTTGAGTTATTACGTGCACTATGGAGCACTTTAAGCAGTTGGAATTATACTGAAAATATGAATTCTATACTTTAGAGGGGAGTGACCCACTTATACATTGAAGTAATAAGTACTTCTGGGTACATCAAATTCTAAAACTAAACATCTTGAATTTTGAAAAGTAGGGAAGCCTATAAAACGTATACTATTCTGTTTGAGGTTATGAACTGTTTATTGAGATGCCTGAGACCTGATGTCATGAAATGGAGAGTTGAAGTATATGCCCCATGTTGCTCATCTTGATTAGCAAAGGACCTAGAAAGGAATGGCAGTCTTGTCTGTTAGCAGTGATGTCATGGCCAGTAGTTCATGGGCACATCATTTTGAGTGGGTGCTCTATCTGCTTGTCCTAGTGCTAGTTAGAGAGCATTCCAATCACACAGATACGTTGCTTGCCCTGCCCTGCCATCAGGATGGCATTAAAATTTGGAGCCTGTTGACTGCTGTGCTCCATGAGTTTTTCCCTGAAATATGTGGACCTTTGGGGAGTAATTAATCATAAAAGCTTGGGGATTTCAACTCTATCATTGAAGCAATGAAGCAAGGGAAAGCTGAGCCTAAAAGCTGTGCTGATTACCCGGGGTAACCTGATACAAAATCTATTGTTGCCGAGAGATCCTTAGCCCCCAGTATATCGTGCAATATTATAACTGCCTGATCTTCTTCTGTGCTGACAATGACCAGTTATCCCTCATTTTCTCTCTCAACACAGCTGGGTTAGAATTTCATTTGCAGAAGGTATTTAGAGCAATTTAGAGACAAATGTCTCTGGTGTTTGCTCTGCACTTCCCCACCGCAGGCTTCGCTGAACAGTTTTTAGTATCAGGAGCTCCATCTAATCTGTTTAATTTTAATAAATCCCTGACTGGGAGAAGAGGAAGGATGGGGAGATGGAGGCACAGAGAAACTGTGGCCCAACTAATACTTCTTATGAATTACTTGGCTAATAATTACTAAGGAGCAGAAATGGTTTGGTAGAGCTTTTTGTTTTTTCCTGTTTGTTAATTAGCCATTCTTCCCTTTGTGCTCATTGTTTGTTTGAAAATGGAACAGTAGGAGATAGGAAGTAGTGCCTGTACCTGACAGTCACTGGAAATTTGTCCATATGGAGTCTGACCACTGAGCTCACAACATGGCCTCTGTTCAGTGCTTGAGAGGAGAAGGTACATGCTGTAATGGTACCTGTGCGCTCTAGCAGATGGAGGCAACTATTTTTTAAACATAGAGGTTGTGGCTAATGTAGTCCTGAGTAAAGGAGGGATTACATGGTTTGGTAGACTGTTCCCTCTGGTCTCTGATAGGCAGTCATTGTCATTCCAATTGTAATGTTTATCCCCATTTTTTACAGGTTGGCTGTCTGCTAGTGAAGTCCTCACTGCCAGTCCAAAAAGCATTTTCTGTAGAGAAACCATTTCAGTTAAAAGAGTCATTTTAAAAAATTACCTTTGTAAGAAACAATACAGATACCCTTCTATTCACACTCACTCTGATCCAAGTTTCTTTAAGCAGAAGTTGCAGTAGAAGATCTTTTTATGGACCACAGCAATCGTTTCGTGGAGGGGAATTTTTGTATCTATAGATAATTGTACACCATGTACAAACTTGTCTTTTGTCATTACTTATGTGCAACCGTGCAGGAGAGGTCTGGTTACAAACTCCTGAAGTAGAGAGGATGGTGCTGGATCACCTTGAGTCTGTGAATGTTGAGGGAAAATTGCAAGGAGCCCTACCCCTAGCAGGAGCCTTCCACTGCCCCAGCTACAGCCTACATAGGATACAGGGATAGGATTGAAGCATTACCTATGGGTGAGCTTTCAGGTCCTTTAACCCTGACTTTGCCTCAGAAATGTCACTTCTGAGACTTGCAGAGATGGTTCTGTCTTAGATAATATTTTTTTTTCTTTTTTTAAAGTGTCTCCTTCCTAAAAGAGGCAAATCATTTTTTATTACTTTTAATATGAATTAATATTCAATATAGGAACTGAGGTTTGTTTAATGCATTTCAGTGCAATGAGAAATGAAAGTTTCTTCAGGACCCTCAGCTGGGCTGGGTTTGGTTTCTTGTGGAACAGTAGTTGCAGAGGCTGCAAGTGTGCTTTTCTGGTTACTTGCAGGTCAGGGGTCTGCTGAACTGCTCTCTCTGGAGCATGGGATGATTGTATTGATGACAGTTGGGAGAGTGAGGGTGTCCTGGATTTCTAAAAGGTCTTTCAAAAGTTGGATGAGATTTCTCTGTTGTCTTAAGCACTTTTATACTCCCAAATACAGAGGCATTAATGAGAAACATGAAGTTATTAGAATCATTTATCATTTTCTTTGAAGCTTACACTGGCATTTTGTGTAATTTATGACATTTCCTCCTTTTTATCATGAACTTCTTCAGATGAAGGGAAAAACAGCTGTTTCCCCTCAGAGTATCTGAAAGAAAAGAAAGGAAAAAAAGATGCTGTTTGTTTTTTGTCCAACTCACTGATTTTGCTGATGACATGCCACAGAATCAGCGGCGCCTTGGGAGTAATTAGGCAGCATGTGGGGTTTAAACCCTTGTGGAAATGTGTCTGTCATCTAAGTGTTCTGCCTCAGATGTCCTGTACTGCTCAGTTACCCATCCAGTAACTCATGTGGCTTGTTAATTTTGTGCACTCTGAATCTGTAACTTCTGGCAAGATAGAGAAAGGGGGTGGAAGTGCACTATGGATGTGCAGCTGTGTTTTGCAGGGTGCTAGTGTTTTGGGGTGAGGTTACAGACTTACTGTGTAGTCTAGAATGAAAATATTTTTTCTCTGTTGCATGTTCTCTTCACTGGTAAACTGAGTACAGTAATGCCTTCCCAGAGTGGGACTGCAGGAACACACAAAACATAGGAGGAACTCAGAAATTACAGTGGCAGGAGAACAGAAATGTATTAGGGCAAATAACTGTATAATTGTTGTGTTATATTGGGAAAATGTTCACTTGGAAGGTTCAATAGTTTTCAGAAGGTAAGCTGCCTGGATTGGTCTTTTGTATATGCGTGCAACATATGGGCTGCAAGCTTCAGAGAGCAGTCACCCTCTTGCTTGGTGAGATGAGTTGGAGGTTGTTGGAAGCGTTGGCCTTTTAGGTGTTCTGTTTACTAGTCTGTTTCATTATTTTGACTGGTAGGAACTGTGTTAATACACAAGGTTTTCCTTGTGTCTTGTATATTTTTTTACAGTGCCTCAGAGTTCCAGAAATTTTTGCCAGTGTTGATATGCCAGTCTATGGTGATTTCTGAAGAGATTAATAAATAATTTAATTGTACATGCCTTTTCTCAATCAGAACTCAAAGACACTTGGTTCCCTGGAAACCAGCCCTGTGAGCCGCAGAATGTCCAGTAGAAAACTGTCTTAATATTCTTCCTTTTTCTGTAGTCTGCATTCTTGGAAGCTGAACCCCTGTCTTGCCTTCTTTACCAAAGGACCCTGTCATGAGGCGACTGTTTCCCACAGAACCCAAGTGGATCACCTTAAGGGCCTAAGAGAATGGGGCACAGCCCACTGCTGGAGGGCTTTAAGGGAACCAAATTCTTCAGCAGATTTCAGTTTAACCCTCTTTTATTACTTTTCTTTTTTATAATTTAAGTCCATTTCATGAGGCAGTTTGCATGTCCTTGAATGGAATCTCGTTACCGTGAAAGCTTTTTTAGCATTGATTTCATAACAGTCTTAATTTAATAGCTCCGTCATTACGGAGAGGCCCTGAGAGTGAGGCCCTAGCTTTCCAGGTCACTGACCTTTTAATTACAAACCTTGTTCTGATGGCCAGGTTATCGACTGGGCAGCTCCCAACTCCTGCCCCCAGCATGAAGATGAAAATAACTGCCTTTCCTCCCCCACCTCCAGAAAAGGGAGGAAAAGAAAAGTAACCTCTTGTGTTGCCAAAATTAATTTTCTCTTTCAGCTTTACTTTCTAATTAATTCTTTTAACATGTCTCAGTGAAGCTCAAGCAGTTTTTACAAAGCTTTTCCTTGAGAAGAAAATAGAAGGCAGGCCAACATAGTCCTGTGACTATTCATACAAAAAAAAAATAAATAGTTAGTTAGTAGCCGGTGCTGTCAAAATACCTATTTGTGCCAAACTGCTGTGGCCCCTCCAAACTTTATGCTTTTCTAAGAATTACTGTGTTTGATACAAGAATGTGTGATTAGGCAGTAAA